AAAAATGGAAGATGAAGGAAGGAAGAAAGGAAAGAAAGGAAGACTGAAAGAAAGATAGATAGAAATAGAAAGAAAGAAAGAGAGAGAGAGAAAGAAGGAAAGAGAGAGGGAGAGCAGGAGGGAAAAAGGAGAAGGAAGGCAGAACGAAAAGAAGAAGGGGAGGCAAAGAAAGGAGAGGGAAGGGAAGGGAAGGGAAGGGAAGGGAAGGGAAGGGAAGGGAAGGGAAGGAGAAGGAAGGTTGAAATGCCAATACAGTAAACACCTCCAAAACCTTCTTTACATTTGTGCCCCAAAATTATGGCAATAATTTTCCCCTCTCTGTTTTTTTGATTCCTCCATATTCTCACCCTTTCCTTTCCAATGAGACTTCCTGTATGTAAGCAAATGTCACATGTCCCAAGCCAGCACAGGCTTTCTTCCCGTTTCCAAGTGCACCCTAAGTGTAAATGTCACCTTTTCCACGTGGTTTTCCTGAGAAGACGTTCTCTTCTCACACCGGGCTCTTCATCTGTCCTGAGATGGTCCCCACTCCTGTATAGCCACCACAGTCTGGCGCTTTTCCTACTGGGTTTCTCTCAGGTGACCTAACCTCTGCTAATGCTCATCAGTATCTGCTAACTGAGCAGAAGGAATGAAAAGAGCAGAAGGGTGGGAAAGAAGGTTTTGAAATATCGCGGATAGTTTGCCAACAAGAGATCTGTCCTTCCCCCTAAAGGACTGACCACCTCCAGAGCACCCTGAGTAAGTAATGGTCCCTGTGGAAGCCTTGTATAACTAAGTGAGCTCTCCTCCACACACCCAGTGACTGCACCGAGTCGACACTGTCTGATGATAAAGTCCCCACTCTTCTCACCAATCAGGGTGTGCAGCTCCCTTTCCCAGAAGCTTCCTCTTGCTCACCAGTCAAGTCACCCAAGAGACAGCCAGCCCAAGGGCACACAGACTCCCATCTGAGAATCACCTGCTCCTCACAGCTCCCTGCAAGGCGGGCATTACTTCCACTGCACAGATCAGTCAGTGAGGCCCCAGGGGATTCAACCTCAAGCAAGGTCAGGACTTGAACTGATGGCTCTTGCTACATAGCCCTTATGCCAAGCAGCTTCCCCGCTGTGCTCCTGTAATCCCAGACCAGAAGGCAGATGACTCATGTCCTCACAGTCATGGTCACAGTCCTCTGGGACACTGTGTCACTCTAGTCCTCTGTGCAGTATGCTTTAGCACGCAGATTACGGGAAGTATGCAGCTCATCTGAGAGACTGTTCCTGTGTTGGCATAAGCTGTGTCTCTGTGAGTTCACAGCCCAGAATTTCTGTAAGGCCACACACACAAGCATCCTACTGTGAATTAGGCAGTGGTTTCAGGACTGGCATTTTATGTAGCTGGTTTCATTTGCTCCCCCAAAAGTGCAATAGAGAAGATACAATCCTCTACAGATGCCCAGGGCGGATATGGTCCCAGGGTCAAGGCAGCAGGGTCACAGTGGGTGAGGGTCTGGCTGGGATTTGACCAGACTGTATGGCCCTGCAGTCTGCTCGCTACTCACTACCCCTTGGTAGCTTGAGTTTTGTTTGTCTTTATTATTTAAAATGTGGGTAAAAATCACAAGAGAGGAAAGAAAACTTGAAGAGAAAATGAGCTAGAAGAAAAGAATCATCTTGACTGGAGCTGGAAAACACACTTTGGGAAGGGTAGGGAAATGACTGTTGCTTTTGTTTCTGATTATAGAAAAGAAAATGGCGTAAGGGGGGAAGAAAATAAGCGAAACCTACTTCAAAGTTTCTTAAGAAGAAGAAGGGAACCCAAAAGCAACCTGAGTACATGGTGAGTAACTCGTTAACATTCTCAGAAACTACCAAGGCTTGGGGGCACTCCTCTGCTTTGGAGAAGGAGAAGGCTGGGTCCTCTGCAGGCAAATGAATGCAACAAGAGGCCGTAATGTTAGTGAAATAAATTGGGCACACAAGCTCAAGTGTAGCAACGTTTCTCTTATATGAGAAGCCCAAAATGTAAATAAAGTGCCAATGAAAGACAGATAGTAGGAAATAGGGAGATAGAATTTTTCAAATGGGAAGGGGACAAAGAGAAAGAGAAGCAGGGTGTAGTGGTGAACACCTATTATCCCAGCACATGGCAGACTGGGGCAGGAGGATCACTGCAAGCTTGAGGCCAATTTGGGCTAAAAAGTGAGTTCAAGGCCAGCCTGAACAACATAGTGAAACTTTTCCTTAAAAACACAAAAAAAGATAAAGAGAGAAAGGAGAGGAAGAGGGGTGAAGGAAGAATTGTGAGGTACTGTGCGCATGGCCCCAGCTCCCCATGAGGAATGTAAACACCATGCAGCAACACTAAACAAAAACTGAATAGCTCATTTCCTGCTGGATCCATGGAAGTTTTCAAAGAGAAGAAAAAGGAGGCAGCTGCTGTGCTGGAAACCCTTAAGAAAAAGCAAAGACATTTCATAGAGCTAAGGGTAAAGCACCTGGGAAAGAAGTTTGTCCAGAAGTTTGCTCTGAAAGGCAAAAAGGAAGCTCATCTGTGAAAAAGCTAGGCATGTCTTGAAGAGTCCAGACAGATGTACAGAGCTCAGATTTGAACAGCAGGGATGGCACAAAAAGCTGTGTGGCAGCTTCTACGGACTTGCAGAACCCAAGCCTGTATTTCTCATCCAGATCAGGGTGTCAATGGTTCATGCCCAAAGGCCCACAAGGTGTCACAGATTCTTCATCTTCACCAAATCTTCAGTGTTGCCTTCCTGAAGCTCAACAAGGCTTCAGTTAAGCCTCTGAGGGCTGTGGAACCACACACTACATGGAGGTCCCAAACATGAGGTCCATAAGTGAACTAATATGCAAGTGTGACGATAGCAAAATCAGGCAGAAGAGAATTGCCTTGGCAGGAAAAGTATCTATTGTTTGGTCTCTTGGTAAATACAGCACTGTCTGCATGGAGGATCTGACTCGTAAGATCTACATGGTTGGAAAATGCTTCAGAGTCAAATAACTTCCTGCGGCCCTTCAAACCATCATCTCCAGTAGGCAGAATGGAGAAAAAATACTCATTTTGTAGAAGGGGGGAGATGCTGGAAATGGGGAAGACCAGACCAACAGGCTCAGTAGAGGGATGAACTGAGGTATCTGCCATGGTGTTTTTATGATTAGGTCAGTTAACACAAAGTGTCTGCTTATCAAAAACATATAAAGAAGTAAATAAAAATTGAAGAAAATTAAAAAGTCAACTAATAAAAGAAACTGCAGAAATGGTTTTACTGTTTTTAATTCTCACAGATGTTCCAGTTTCCTACACCTTTGCCTATTCTCAATATATCCATTAATTGTTCTAATAAGTGTAAAATATTCTGTAAATTTGCATTCTGCTGCTGAATGTGGTGGTGCAGGCTGGGAATCCCAAATCTCAGGAGGCTGAGGCAGGAGGACTACTTTGAGTTCAAGGCCAGCCTAAACTTCATGATAAGACTCTGTGTCAAATAAAAAAAAAAAAATGTATACTGTCATGTGATTTACATTACCGTGAATTTAAATTTAACTTGTTCTGGTAATAAGAGATGCTGATCATCTTCTCATATACCGACTTCCTGTGCCTCTGTCTTTCTACGGAAGCATCTACAGGATCATTTGTCTTTTGTTTTCTTATTTGTGAGACTTAAGAGTTACTGAGATTCCCCTCCTAGCCACTTACATGAAAGATATAAACATATGTTCACCAAAGACCTGTAATTGATTGTTCTTAGCAGCTTTTTTTATGGAATGGTTAAAAAGCTAAAATTAATCCTAATGTTCACCAGGTAGTGAATGGATCAACAAACTATGATATATTCACATAATAAAAAAAGAACAAAATAGCAGCTACACCCAAAGCCATAGAGGTATTTCATATGTGAAAGAAGCCAAAGAGAAACAGAGTACATACAGTAAGATTTCATCAATAGAAAATTCTATAAAACACATATTACAGACTATCAGCAAAAATCAGATCAGTGTTTGTCTGAGAAAGGCTCCATTGAGGGGACAAATTACCAAGTGTCACAAGGTCACTTTGGGGAGGGTAAAAATGTTCACTGTTTTAACAACAGCAATGGTATCATGAGTATGTATTCATGTGAAAACATATCAAAGTGTATGCTCCAAATACATTAAGTCCATTATATACCAATGTTAACTCAATTGTTAAAATACTAATCTTCAAGAAGGAAATTAGAACAATGAACAGAAGAGAAGACCTGAGTACTACTTTAGTTTTTGTAGCTATGATTCTGCTCACCACTCAGGGGTACTGAATATAAATCAGTCACAGTAAGACTAGAAACAGTGAAGTTTCTTAAAGGAAGAATAATAGAGCAATAGAGAAGAATTTTATGGTTCTAAATTTTAATTTCTTTTTTTACTGTACTGAAGATTGAACTCAGGGTCACATCCATATAAAATTTTTTTTGATTTTTCACTGGATTAAATTTATAATGTGAAAGGGATCGTGGGAACACTCCTGCTGAATTCAGTAGGAAAGGCACCAGCTACAGATAGGAGTCATTAGACCCCTGTGAATGGCGGTGGAGTCTGAGGGGCTGGGGACTAACCACTGGGAAGCTCAAAGCATTGTGGTCACACAAAATAGGCACTGTTTTATCCACATGTTTAACTCCATTGTGACAGCTCTTATGCCACAAACAGTTCCTTACTGTGTATCTAATCCTCACCTCTGTGTTGCAGCTCCTTAGCATTTATCTACTTAGAACATGACATTTCTGAACATATTTGTATTTTGCAGAAGAGAAAACAAGAAAATTCATGCTTGCAGAGTGTCATGTGATTCTGGACATGCCAGCAGTAACTGTGAGAGACTAATCTGCATGACAAGGGGCTGTCCTGAACTCTCAGGCCTCACCCTCAACTCCACAAGCCCCAATCTGGGATGGGAAAATAGATGATCCTGAGATAACACACTCCACTATCCCTAGCCTTGCTAGGATCAGGAGACAAGACTCAATGGATTTGGGAAATCACACCAGCGTCAAAGAGTTTGTATTTCTGGGACTCACTCAGTCCCACGACCTGAGCTTGGTCTTATTTCTGCTTTTGTGTTTTGTGTTTTTGATAACTCTGCTGGGAAACCTCCTCATCATGGTGACAGTGACCTGTGACTCCCGCCTTCACACCCCGATGTACTTCCTGCTCCGCAACCTCTCTGTCTTGGACATCTGCTTCTCCTCCATCACTGCACCCAAGGTCCTTGTAGACCTTCTTGCAAGGAAAAAGACCATCTCCTTCCAAGGCTGCTTCACCCAGATGTTCTTCTTCCACTTTCTTGGTGGCGCAGACATTTTTTCTCTCTCAGTCATGGCCTTTGACCGCTACGTGGCTATTTTCAGGCCCCTGCACTATGTGACCATCATGAGCAGGGGGCGCTGCACAGCCCTTATTGCCGCTGCCTGGCTGGGAGGCTTTGTCCACTCCATCGTGCAGATCGCCCTCTTGCTCCCACTCCCCTTCTGTGGACCCAACGTTCTTGACACTTTCTACTGCGATGTGCCACAGGTGCTCAAACTTGCCTGCGCTGACACCATTGTCCTGGAGATCCTCATGATTTCCAACAATGGCCTGGTCACTACACTGTGGTTTATCTTCCTGCTCATGTCCTACATGATCATTCTGATGATGCTGAGGTCACACACAGGTGAGGGCAGGAAGAAAGCCATCTCCACTTGCACCTCTCACATCACCGTAGTGACCCTGCACTTTGTGCCCTGTATCTATGTCTACGCCCGGCCCTTCACCACCCTCCCAGCGGATAAACCCATCCATGTCATCTTCACAGTCATCTCCCCTCTGCTCAACCCCTTGATCTACACCCTGCAGAACCAGGAGATGAAGTCAGCCTTGCAGAGACTCAGGAAGAGACTTGGACCTTCTGAAAGGGAATGAAATGAGTCCCCAAATCCTCATCACCAAGGATCACATTATTATGTTCCCCACAGCATCTTAGGTTCAAATACATTGTTATTTAACCACCCACACTTCCTAAATATCCATTCATTTTCCTATTTCAATGAATAACTGATGAATAAGTGGCTGACAAGCCAGGTATCTGTTTAGCATAAAGTATCTAGTTTTACAGTATTGAAAGGATGGATGTATTTTTACAAAAGAGTAAAGTAATAATATGTCAGTTGGGACAGTTACATTATTAATAGTTCAACTCTTTTTTTCAGAAGATAAGGAAACAAAAGCCCTGAGAGAAAAAGTGATTTGTTCAAGTCCTTAACCCATTTAATTACAGAGACAACTTCAATACACAACTATCTTTTGTATACCATATGAGTGAGATTTCTTACAGGGTTAGGCCTTCTGCACCAAACTCTAATCATGTTCTAGAAGGATTCCACCACCACTGCCCATGAAGTGCACATATCTTATCACAGATTAAGAATTTACCTCAGCTTAATTAAATTCCATGTAGCCTCAGGAGCTACTGAGAATCTCCTAAATGCACAGTGGGTTCTCAGCAGGAATGAAGAAGCTTGGAAACATCTCTGCAAGTGGCCTTGAGGCACCTATTTCAGTACAGAATGAGAGGAGCTGGAGAACCCCAGAAACCACACACATGGGACAATCTGCTCCTCATGCCAAGCACTCAATTTCTAGGTCCATTTCATGCCAATGTGTCCTTCCCACCCTTTCTCTGTGTCTTCCTCTGGTCAGGTTCTATCTGTGGGTCAGAATCCGGGGGGACCAAAGAGCAGAAAGTCTGAATAACAGCACCTGGGAAGTGTAATGCTAAGGGGATAAGAGCCTGGAAACCCTGCCACAGCATTTGTCCAAAATCCTCCTTCACCCCAATCCAAACACACAGCATGACCCAACTCAGTGACTTAGGAAATAGAACACAAGTGGGTCTGTCACACCGGTCTGAACCCCATGGCGCCACAGCTGCGCTGCATCTCTTCATGAAAACAGTGACTCTGACCAGCTCTACCAAGGAATGAGTTACAAATACAAAGTCCATATAGTACATATACATACAATGTTGAGTTATTTCTGCACTGTAAGACAAGATGTGTTTTATAGCCTTTTAAACTGCTGGTGAGAACTACAGAAAACTAAAGAGAGTGGAGGCACCACATGGCTTTCAAAGTATGTTTGGATGTGTACTTCCTGAGTCAAATGCTTCTGTAATGGTGTATGTTTGGAATACATGAAATGCACATTAATTCAAGGGGTTTAGTATACATACAGAATATCTTAAACATTTTTGTTCCCCCTTTTTCCCTGCCTTCTGATACCCTCCCCTTTTCCAAAAATTCTGCAGTTTCATTTTATTTTCCCTCAGTTTAGCTTTTTCTATTTTAAATTTTATGAGTACGTGTTTGTGATCCTCATGATCACATTCCTTACTGAGTTGGCTCATGTATGGAACATCATCTGAGAGAAACTAGGCAGTATTTAACCTTCTGTGTCTGACTTACTTTGTTTAAAATTACAATCTCAAGATTCATCCATTTTCTTACAAATGGCTCAAATTTATGGCTGAATAAAATTTCCTGGACATTTCAAAATGGAAATTTTTCTGGACAGTTTCCCTGTTCATTCATGGATGGGAATCTAAGCTGTTTGTTTATTGAGAGTTTTGCTGCTATCAACAGGGGTGTGTGTGTGGTCACTGCACCATGGTTGCAGTGAATGTTCAAGGGATCACTATCCCTGAGCACTACTGAAAAACTCCCTAATCTAATTGTTGAGTGATTATGTTCATAAATCTCACAAGCTGCCAAGAATGTTCTTTCCCAGGATTCTGAGTGAACTGTGGACCTCAGAGAGGCGAACCAAAATCATTGCACAGGGACAACATCCACATTGTTTTCAGCAGAGAGGAGCAAAGACTCTGAGAGCTGCTCTCACTGTGCCCCCAGGGCTTTTACATCCCCATGGCTACCCTTCTTTGTCACAACTGTCTGGAAGCCGCTGAGTTTGGTGAAGAGAAGGACTGCACAGGAGGACTGTAACCCTCAGGAAAAAAACTTCTCTGGGCACAGAAAGTGTACAGTGCCCTCTGCTGCCCCTAGGGAAAGAAACTTTCCTCCTGGTAGCCCAGAGACTCCTGCATAGATGTGTGTGCTGGGACCAAGAGGCAGTAAGGGAAAGATGTGTGGGCAATGAGTGACAGTTTACTGACTCTTGAAGGAATGGCACAATGTCAGCCACCCATGGGCACGCCCATGCCCAGATGCCTTCTCTGTGCCCATGTAGAGTTGGGTTGTGGCTGAGGGCCAAGCACTGGTGGCCATAGCTTCTGAGCCGAACAGAAGCAGGAGTGCCCAAGGCTGCCTTTCCCATAACAGGAGGCAGGCACAGTCTCCAGCCCTGAGGTAGGCTTCACGGGAACAGAATCTTTCCAGGTCCTTGTTCTGAGTCACAGGGTTACACTGTGAGCATATTAGTTTCCCACCCAGAGAGTTCACATCAGTATGTGAGCTTGTGTGGATTTTTCAGAAACCTTACTCAGTACAGAGGGCTTCTGTCAAAGCCAGAAGTCTCTAAGAAGCAGAGCAGAAAGAGCTCAGCTTTATTACTGGAGAGAACAAAGGCAGAGCTTGCAAAATGAAGGGGAAAGGTCCCTGGGCTCCCTGGAATGGGGCTGTGTGGAACTTCACAGGATCCTGGGGTTGCTAGGGTCTTCAAAGCAGGACCTAATGTGCTGACCTTACTTGCCTGGGAAAGGTGACTCTCTGCAACCATGGCTTCCAGGCTCGGAATATCCACCAGGGTCCCTCTGTTTCCTGGATGCCTGGAAGACTGGGTGCTTGGTGAAAAGCGTTTCAGTGCATAACTTACCTGCACCCTCCTGTGCCTCTGGATAGGAATAATGTCACTCAGCGCTAGGCTCTTCTGAAACCTCTAGAGATTCAATCAACAGTAAGAACCTTTGGAAAGTGGAAACAGAGAAGACTGCAATGAGCTAGTGCATCCTAGAAAATCAACTCAGTTCCCACAGTGGTGCAGCTCAGGGGCCATCATTTCCAGGCTCTGTTCAAGCACCTGGTGAGCTAATTTCCAAAGGGTGATTTCAAAAATAAAAGCTTCATGACCCTTACTTTGATGTTGCAAAGATGCACAAAACTGTGTTGCCTTATCGTTTTACTGCCCCTCTTTTTTAATATGCACTTGTATTTCAATGCAACGAGCATAATCCTACATTTTCAAAGTATGCTTCTCCCTCTGTATAATGACACTATTCAGAGGGTTCCACTGGATATCTTATCAATGGGAGTTCCTGCTGTGGAGATGGCACTCAGGATTCATTTCTGCACCAAGCCATGGAGCCCTGTGAGGCTGGCCTGCATCACTATGCAGGTCCAGTGCACCATCTGTACTGACTAGAAAGTCTAACTTCCCACACTCTGCAAATTCACCCCTGACATTCTCCAGGTGCCAGGCTAAGCCACTGTCACCCACAACTCTTTCTGTCATCTACAAGCTTCTAACACCAGCATCTCATGTCACATGTTGTGACACAATTGGGGAAAGGAAACAGAAATAAAGATCAGGACAGAAGCTGAGGGGAGGAGGACTGAGATTTGGAGCCCAACTGAGGCAGTTTAGAAGCTTAACCAGGCCCTGCTTCAAAATAAAAAATGTGGAAGGATTGAAGAGAAAGCTCAAGATGATGGCTTTGGGCTCTCTCCCCAGTGCCTGGGTACCTGGAGGACAAGCGTGAAGGGAACCGGAAGAGGTGGGAGGAGAAACAGAAGGAGACAGAAGGAGGTTAAAAAGAAGCTAATGAGGTAGTTCCCTGGGCAATGATTTGAAATCATTGAATCCTAGGGCAAGTCTGTTGCCATTGGTTAAAATACGTCTTCGTGTCCCAAGTCAATCAAGGTCTTCTTTCTGTATATTCCCTACAATGCCACTCTGAGCTACACAGGTAGATCCTGCATCAGAAAGAAAGGAAGGAAGAAAGAAAGAGAGAGAGAGAGAGAGAGAGAGAGAGAGAGAGAGAGAGAGAGAGAGAGAGGAGAGGGAAGGGAAGGGAAGGGAAGGGAAGGGAAGGGAAGGGAAGGGAAGGGAAGGGAAGGGAAGGGAAGAAGGGGAGAAGAGAGGAGAGGAGAGGAGAGGAGAGGAGAGGAGAGGAGAGGAGAGGAGAAGAAAGGAAAGGAAAGAGAAAAAGGAAAGCAAAGCAGAATCAGAAAAAGAGCTACAAAGGGACATCAGGGATGCCTGCCTAACCCAAGAGCTTGGAAAGACCTCAGCCCCATGAATGACTGGGGAATACAAAATAAAGACCATAACTACAAAGCTGTAAAAACAACTATTGGCAAAGCGGGTAGTCCATTAAACTTTTCTTTATATGAAATTCATTCTTTAAAAATGAGATTAAATATGACAAAGGAATTACCACACGCTTGTGCTTTTTAACCTTTTCCTAAAGTTGCTTACAGAAAGATGCACAGACGTGCACAGCTCAAAAGTCTTTCCCTAACCAGAACACACTTTGGCAACCAGCGTGAGTTAGGGAAACAGAATGCAGCCTGAGGGCTCCCTGTGGCTGTGCATCCAGGCTCAGCATGCAACAGTGCTCTCTGGCACTGGGGCATTTAGAACATAGCTGTGCTTGTGAGACTCACTCACCAAGAGTGGGTCACTCTGCTGTTTTATATTCTTGTTCTCTTCACATGATATTGTATATGTGATTCTCATTGCTGTGCAGTATGGTGTGAATTTAACACAATTTATTTTTTGCCTGTTATGGGTATTTTGCGTGTTTCTAGTTTAAGGAAATCTATAGCTAGTGTTGCTGTGATTATTCAAGGACATGTCTTGGAAGTAGAAATACATATTCTTTTTGCATGTGTGTGAAACAGGGTCTTAACTGTAATTCAGACTGGCCTAGAGTTCATTATATATCCCAGGCTGGCCTTGAACACAAA